TTCTTTTGTAATCATCTTTGCCAACAAGATTTCATTTTTAATTCATTTGGATCTAATTTTTTCTTCTATCATAATTTTTTTTTTTTTTTTATATATATATATATATATATATTTTGGATGTTATAGGCAGGCCAATATCCTGTTAGTATTCATTTCTCTTATTGTCTATCTTGTGAAAATCTTTTCAATGAAATAAGCTTTTTCTTGAAAAAAAAAAAATGGTAAAAATATATATAGACAAGGCTTTTCTTTTTTCTATGAGATAGACGACATTGTTTTACCATGCCTAATGTAGTAGTTATTACTATCTTCAACATTGTGTTTGTGATGGATCAGACAGCAGCAACAATAGCATGTCATTCTCATAATGTCTAGAAAGGAAGAATGGTTGTGGCTGTTCTTTATCTATCTCCTTCAATCTTGATAACTTAGACAATTATGGTCCAACTTGCCTGTATTACTTTCTTTTTCTCCTCTGACTCATCCCCTATTTATGTTATATATGTCAGCTTGCCTGTCTGTCTCTAAAGGAGGACTTCAATGTTACATTCATGTGTTACGTTTAACTGCTGCTAACAAATGTTTTTTCAATTATAGAATCTTAACATTTGTTTGCTAAAAATTGAGCTGATAATTTTTCCTAGTGTTTTTTTTTTTTTTTTGTTCCAATTAAGCAAATAAACCTACCCAGAATGTTGATACTTTTATTTTTGTAATTGAATTGCTCTGTGTAAGAAACTTTCACATTTTCATGTCATGGTACCCTTCTTAGAAATCTTGGCATATAAAGCATTTCTCTGTGTGTGCATGTTTCATAATGGCATTCATTCAGTACTGTGCAAAGCTTTAATTTCCTTTGTCATTGTTGTTTGAAGCCATAAGTAGAGTTGCACTAATCTTATATAGATGATAAATATAAAAAACCATATTTAGTATTGCTGTCATTAATAAAACTTAAATCCTAGCTTTGAAAATGCAGAAAGTCTTTTCAATTTCCTTTATCCAGCTTGGAGCTTGATTTTAGTGATGATTCTTATTTGCTTCCTCTTTCACCTTCATTTTCCTTTTCCCATATATGGAACTGGCCGTTCTGAAAAGTATTTTCAAGGTTACTTGTCTTATGATTATCCACCCAAACTTCTGATATCAGTGATATTGCTTTTTATAGCAATATTTTGCTACAAACTATCCTAGTTAAAAAAAAAAAAAAATTTTTTTTTTTTTTTTTTTTTTGAGATATTCTAATTTTTCATCTATGAATATTATGGAAGTGTCACATTTTTATGAACTATAAATGATGTATTGCAAGCTTGCACTCATCTTCTCTTTTTGCATGACTGTCTGATGTTTGAGATTTACCCAATATAGGAAAATAAAGCAGAGTATTATTTTCAGAACTAATTCTTTTTACAAAGTGAATTGTTCAAAATCATTATGTGGTACCAACAGATTTAGGTTATGCAGTGTTTTGGTTTCACTTTTTGTTATTAAAAGTGGCTCTTTTACAAATTTAAGCATGTTGCAGTTGTATACCTATCTTTATACCAAACATTAAAAGATTGTTTTAACTTGACTTAATTTGATATTAAGACATCAGCCAGCATTTATTTTTTATCAATTCTCTCCAATCAAGGTGATAAAGCTACTAAGTTGAGTGGAAGAATCTTGGGGTGTGGGGATAAAAAAAGAACAGAAATTAAGGCAGAAAATAATGATTGACATTGATCTTCAAAAATTAAAATGCAAAGTTGAATGGAAAGCAAGAAGCCAGAAGAGTTCCACAAGCAAGAAGTATGAGAGAAGAAACTGTTAGCATTGAACTTATGGTTATATCTGTCAATTTCTACTGTAAATTAATGAGACCTAGCTGCCAATCTAGTACTGTGCTAAAATTTTTAAAATCAAAGTACCAAAGAAGAAAACTCATCAGAACAATTACCATGAAAATCTTTATAGAAAAAACTCAGGGAAGCTATGTTACTATGATGAGAAAGTAACTGGAGCCAAGATGCCAGATCAGGACATTGCAGATTTTCTTTGAAATTTGTAAAGAATCTTAATACATAGCAGAAACACCAGACCAGATGTGGCAGCAATACTCAATGCATAGACAAATAGTAGACCTATAAATGTGTAAAATAGAATTTCTTGAGAAATTGTATAGCACAACAGTGAACCAACTTTGCTAGCAGGCGATTCAATATAATCATTCCACTTCATGTTAGTGCAAGAAAGCACAATGAGTCACTCTCCTGGAGGTTAGCATCTGCTATGCTGATGGAAAGCAAAAAGCTTCACTAAGACTACTAAAAGATTTCATTTTGGAGACATTAAAATTAATAAACCATTTCTTGCCCCAGTTAAGAACCAATTGAAGGTCTCTTTTTTTTTTTTTTTTTTTTTTTTTTAGATGAGCTGCCAATTTGACCTTATCGGACCTATCAGACTTACCATTAAGACTTCAGTAAATGTTATAAAAATTTTCCAAGATGCTTCATATATAAAATAGCCTTCTAATGACCACTAATAGAAAGATCAGTGAAGACATTAAATAAGGATTATTGAATAATCCTTCTGAGTCTGAATCTAGAAAATTAAAAGTATTAAGCTAATTTTGTCAGATATGAATTATATCCAATGAAACACTTAAGAGCATTACTTTGAGATTGTAATTATTAGTCAGAATAGGAAATCTGGAGAATTCTCTCAAGCAGAATTTTATTAGTATACACTTTTTTTTATTATTATTGCTCTTAACCTCCCCAAATATTGATCTTTACAAAAACAATTTTGATTCAAGATAATCTAAGATACTTGGCTCTCAGATAACTACTATAGATCATCCTATTGTGCAGCTCCTCTTTTGGATAATATTTTTAAAGGTGTCTATTTTTCAAGTATATCTGCATTATTCAGTGTGCTGCATGTACAAATAGTAGTAGGAGGCGGCTGTTGCCAAAAATGGCCCCTGAAAACATCATCATCACAGTATCTGATGCTGAAGATTGTCAGTAGTGGTGCTGTTTAACTCTGTATGTACATTATATAATGTGTACACAATGCAACTGTATATTTTTAGATTATAATGTTTTTTGTGAACTGGACATTATATGTTGCTCAAAACTGACAAGGAATAGTTTATGCCAGACACTACATTCAGTGATTTTTTTTTTTTTTTTTTTTTCTCCATACCCATTATTCCCTCATTAGCCAAGCTACAAAATTACGTTCTTTTGCCTCAGCTAAAATACAGACAAGATACTTATTTTTAATTTTGTGAACTGACTTGGAAAAATTACATTATAGTATGGGTCAGTTGCATGCATCTGTTCTACAAAGAAAAAATTATTATTATTAAGGTCATATAAGAGTAAGTTGAGAGAGAATACTCTTTACTTTCCACCTACCTACTTATTTCTTTCTCCAAATCTCCCTCTCATTCTTTCTTGCAAGTCCTAAACTCTTGTTAGAGCAAATAGAATAAACATGTTTGGTAACATTTCTATTAAAATTTGTGTACTTTCCTCACCCACACACTTCACAGCAATGAATGCTCACCTTATTTAACTGCTTATTTCAAAACTTTTGTTAAATGTGACAGTAATAGTTATTTTGGTGTGTGATATTTTCTATTGTTCTATTTATAGTCAAAGAAAGTTCTTATTAACCAGCTTCGTATGACTAGAAATTGTGAGAACAATATACCACTTACAAAAACACAATTTAAATTGAAAATAATATATATAAAGATTACATATATTTATGTATTTGTCAGAAGACATTGAGAGGGGTTCTGGCCACTTCCCAGAATCTAACTTGTTTTTTCTAATGATTTCTTATTTGAGCCTAGACTATTCCAGCACCCTTTGTAATATGATTTATTCATAGGTTAGGCAGTAAAAGTATTGATAGATTGCTAATAAAAAAAATTCTAAATTATTGTAGACTGAGTGAATTCTTAAAAAAGTAGCCTAAAACACTTGATAAATTTTCTATATAATAAATCTTTAAAATTGATGGATTTTACTAAATATCTCTAGCTAGATATACTACTATAAGTAAGTTTTATAAAATTGCTCTGGTTATGTTGCCAGTTTTTTTTTGTTAGTAATTAAAACCAAAACAAATACGTTTTAGTCATGCCGCACTCTCTGAACTAAGGGAGATAACCGCTACGAGTCTCAAACTTCAGTTACTGACGTTAAAGGATTTAATAAAATTTGTTAGCTAAGTTTAAATAAGTCTTTAAAATTATTACTCTTTTTAACTTAATTAAACATTTAACAAGACAAATATTTAACCAATATTTTACTGTTAAAAACGGAATTAAACTACCTTTGTTTTTGTTTAAACTCTGGTGACTTTTCTCTCGTCATTTAATACTCTTTAAGAAAAAAAATCTGACTAAAAATGTTTTTATACAGCAATCTAGTTGTAGAATGAATTCCTTATCTAATACTATATTTCCCTGATGCTTGAAAGTTTAGTTGAGTCTGTCATAAAGTCAAATAGAAAATTCATGAAGTTGGTGTTGCATCTAATTTTCTAGATGAAATTAAGCATTTTAACTTAGCTTAAACACCAATCCTTGACATTAATGGTGAGTATATAAATACCTCAACCACAAAGTATGCTATATCATATTTTTACTTATTCTAATTTTTTAAGAAATGGAAATATTGGCAATTTTTAATGAAGCTTAAAAAGATGTGAATGGAAAGTCTCTTTCTGGTAAAATCCTCCACATTTATTGTAAGCAGTAGCCTGTAAAGCACTTAAAGGCATCTGTTTAAATTGTTTGCAGTGCTTTTCATGTCAAGAAAATGTTAATGAATACTGAAGAGCTGCAAAAGTAAAATTGTCAGTTAACAATTATTTAAAGAAAATGCACCAAAGGAAATTAGTCCCAAACAATGAAGAAATATAAACTTTCTTTTTTTCAACAACAAAAAAAAAGAAAGAAAGAAAGATATTATAAGCATCAATGGAATATTGAAGAAATGATAGACGGCATATGGTAAATTGGATATATACTTTTAAAAAAAAAAAAAAATTTTTTTTTAAACTTTGTCACATATCCATGATTTTTTCTCTTTGTTGTTAAATTTCAACTGGCCTTTAACAGTAATGTGTATCATTTTCAAAACCTTTCCTAACATATTAGCATATTAGAGGTCTACTTCATTTTTTTTTTTTTTTTTTTTTTTTACTCTCCTACTTGCATTCCACAAATAGGTGTGGTTTATTTTTTTCTATTCCTCCCTCATACACAAGCTCACATATCTTATTCTGTTTCTCAGGAAGAGACTGGTCATAATTCTAGCCACCTTACCAAAAACTTTGTCAACTGATAACCATAGAGTCCTCTTCCGCCATCCCCAGCAGGTATTGTTCTTAATGAAGTTGAAAGTTTGTAACTAAAGATCTCTTCCTTTGTGTTTTAATAGTTCAGTTCACTTGATCATTTTTTTTTCTGCAGATTCCAACTTACTCAGTAGCTCAACTAGTGGGTTTAATGTAAAACCATAACATCTAAAACATGATTATAATAAATACAGTATATACTGTTCAAGAAGACAAGTCAAAAGGGAATATGTGATTTAAAGAACTTTTCCTTTCTATTTTCTCTCCTATTTATTATAATAATTTTAACATTTTTCAAATCAAAAATTAGGGAAAATATTTACTTTATTTTTCTCATTAAATTTCCATTTGCCCAACATCTTTGCACCTTGTAATATTTAAGCATTCTACTTTTTGCTGTATAAATTACATTTAGTAATTTAAAAAATCTTTATATGCAATTTTTAATTTGATTATGTAGATAATGTTCAGTGATCCGGTTTATTGTGGGCATAAGGTTGACAAAATTATTTTTATGGTTAAAATAAATACTGTCAAAATATACAAAAATACTTTTCTTTTTTATTGTATTGCTTTTTACATTCGCTTCTGTTCAGGATGTAAAGGTAACACAAAATGTCTGTTGCTTATTAACCTCTTGCAATATTTATCCTCATCTTCACTCAGATTATTCACTTAAAATCTGTACAGATATAAAGCAATATTTTCTTGTGTGCTTTGCAAGCTCATTTACTGCATATTTGTCAATTCAAAATGATGTAAGTGATGAGACAAATATTCACTTTTTTTTCTTTCATATTGTTTAGAGTTGCTGCTGTTCTTTTGATCTGATCAAATTGGCAAGAGTTACCAACCACAAGGAATTGCCTTTTGTATGCAATCTGCTACATAAGCACCATTTGTTGATGAACCATCCAGAATAATTTGGTTGCTAGGTACTGACAGCTGCTGAAGTGTTGGTTACTAGATGCTATATTCAACTATTGGAGTAATTGTCACCCAAGAACATCATCTAATTACACTAGCTTCCTAGACTAATAGGCAGCTAAAAAATGTTTCTTTCTCTTATAAAAAATTTGCCTTTGAGGACATAACTATCATTGGTTTACCTCAAAATTATAAGCTGGTTGGGAGTTGACAAGGCTTTGATATCTGAAGTTTTACATTGGTCATTTAGACTATTGCAGATAACCTAAAACAAAATTTCCAATGCTGGTGGGCTGTTTAGTATTCATTATGTGTAAGTGTACAATAATAAGATGTGTTTGTCAGTTTAAAGTATAATGCTTAACTGTTGCTTGCTAAGCTGTCCTTATGGCTTAAAGCACATTTTCAAGGACAGATAAGCCTGTTCTGTGACATGAATATTGATACACATTAAATATATATGCACAGAGCTACATAGATAAGTATGAGCTGAAAAGTAGACAGGGGGGGAGATATAGAAGGATAGACAAGCATAGTAAGCATATAAAGACAGATGAATATAGTTTAATTTGTGATCATTTGCTGTTAAAAATAAATCTAGATGTCCTAACTAATGAATGGGTTAAAAATTCAAGTTACTATCCACTTTCCTCACCATCAGTCATTGTTACTATCTATACTAGAATGCCATGCATGTTAATGAATTCTTTTGGGAGCCACCAAACTGGTTGACAGAGCAAGATGTTGGTAGAAATCCTTATTTGCTGATAGGAAATAGGTACAGCATCTCATCTGACAAGATGTGTACTAGATTGTGGCCTGTGTCTATGACTTTTTAGTCTAATTGGCAAGGATTAATAAAGACTATTTTATATAATAATAACTTAAATCAAGACATAAGAAAATTTGTGGTTTAAGAAATATAATTATAGTGCATTAAATTTACATTCAAATGTTTCTCTGCTGGATAGGTGGAGCTTACTTTATACTTTCAGCTTGCAGAAGAAAGATTGATTTTCATGGATGAGTACTGGTTTTTGTTTTGCTCTGGTTTGTGAATTTTAGCTTTGTAAAATGTATAACACAGTATGACTGAAATTACTTATAACCAAAATTAATAGGAAGTTTATCAACATTGCTTTCACATTTCGAAATTGAAGTTTTTTCTGTCTGAAACTGGGCTTTTTAAGATGTTAACTCTTAATAAAGTTTCTTGGTTAGCAGATTTGACTGCATTTATTATAATGCTGGCTTACTTGCCTTTCTTTAACCTTGTGATTATACTTTTTCATTGTATATACCCAAAAGATTACCCAGCATATTACAAACTCAGCAATCATTAGAATAATCTCATTAGTAATCTAATCACTTATACTTACTAGCTAAATTTCTATCAGGACATCTGGGTTTTTCCATGTGTGTAGAAAGTTATATTTGCCTATACTCAGCTGTACATTATTTTATCCTCATTTCTCAGTTGTCTTTATCATCATAAGGTTTCTGGTCAATCTGTTGGCGATTAAAGCTATCAAGGTCTTTTTTTCTAAGAACCATTGTCTAAAATTGGTTGTCATTTGGTCATATATGAAATATCTCAGTAACTCATACTATTTATTTATTTTTTTATAAAAGATTTTATTTAATCATTTCACCACAAGCAAAGCAATAAAGCCACAAGGGGTTGAGTGTTAGAGAATATGAGAAAAAAACTATTAAGAAGAGAGGACAATAAAAGAATTAAGAATTGATATTGCATTTAAATTTTTGAAGATCAAAGTTGACTGGGAAGCAAGAAGCCTAAAGAGTTCCACAAGAGAAGTGCAATAGAAAAAAACTGTTAGCATAGAACTTAGTTATATCTAGCCATTTCAACTGTAAAATGAAATCTTGCCACCAATCTAGTACTACACTTAAATTCATAAAGTCTACATACCATAATGGAAAGTTTATCAGAACAATTACCATGTAAATATTTATCAAAAAGGCACAGATGCTAAGTTATGGCGGTAGGAAAGTGACTGAAACCGAAATGCCAGGTCAGGGCCAATAACATTGCAAATTCTTTGGATTTTATCAAAAATATCTAAATATATAGCAGGAGCACCTGACTAGATGTGGCAGCAATATTCAAAGCAAGGATGAATAGTAGGCATATAAATATTAATATAAATTCTTGTGAGAAAAATGATCTAGAACAACATAGCAAACAAAATTTCTTGGCTGCAGACTTAGCAATTGATTCAATATAATCTTTCCACTTCATGTCAGCTGAAAATGTTAGTCCAAGAAGATGCAATGAGTCTCTCACCTTGAAGTTAATGTCTCCCATGGCAATGGGAGTTAAAAAGGGTTCTCTCAGACAATTTATGCCCCTTTCTATTTTCATATATTCACTGAACTCATTCCATATGCATGCTGTTTGCTGCTAGTATATTGATTATTCTGATATCCCTCCCGAATATATCAAGGTTGGTGAGCAGTTCCATCAGAGCCTTGTGGTGTACTTTGTTGAAGGCCTTTATGTAGTCTATGAAACATAGGTACACATCCTTCTGAGCATGAATATCACGTTCCTCATTCCAGTGTCTTTAACGAACACACACAGTTCTCTGGGCTGATTCTGCTGCATGCTCTATTCAGCAGAATACGGATGATGAGTTTTGTCATGTGGCTCATCAGGCTTATTGTTTGGTGGAGTTCCCATTCATTTGTGCCTGGTTTCTTAGGCATAGTTATGAAGATAGATCTGGTGATGTCTTCCAGTATATCCTCACTGTTGTAGATTTCATTTGTTATTTTGGTGATCTTGTCTATGCCAAAGTCATCTAAGGCTGACAGCATTTCTGCTACAATTCCATCTGGCCCAGCTGCCTTGTTTCTGTTCAATTTGACGAATGTGGCTTTTACTCCGGTTTTCAGTATTCCAGGTCTGTCAGTAGTTCTGTGTATTACTGGCTGTTCCCTTTTGCCATGGAAGAGTTCTCCAATATACTTGCTCCAGCATTGAAGAATTTTTCCTTCTCTCATATGTTTCATCCTTTGATTTTAGGCAGCCTGTTGACAAGCATGTCTTCTGTCCTGTTGTCTTATTTGTTTGTGCATGTCTTTTTTTGTTGGTAGTACTCAATCTTTCTGTTTCTGCACATTTTTCGTTTAGACATTCTTCTGTAGCTTTTCTGCATTTGGTCCTTATTTCATTGTGTAATTTTCTGTACTCCGTCCTGTATCTTGGCAGGGTTTTCTGTCTTTTTTCCATTATGTCAAGAATCTCATCAGTCATCCAATTGTTTTTCCTTCTTCGTCCTGTCTCTTTTGGGATGATATTGTTTGCTGATGTCACTATAATGTCTCTTAGTGTGACCCATTTTGAGTTTCCATTGCATGCCTTGTATCTTCTCTTCACATTATCCATATATTTTTCTTTTAGGTTAGGATCGCTCAGGAGCTTGTTTGTATTGCAGTTTGAATGCTGCATTAGGCTTCTTCAGCTTCCACAGTCATACTCTTAGTTTACATATAAGAGGGCAATGATCGCTTCTGCAGTCAGCACTTGGGTAGGTTTTGCAGTGAATCATTGCATTCCTGAATCTTTTATTGATGGTTATATAAGCAATTTGGTTTTTAATTTCTCCTCCTGGACTCTTCCATGTCCATAGTCATCTCAAATGATCTTGGAACCATGTGTTGGCTATTACTTGGTCATTGTCTGTGCCCCATTAGATCCATTTTTCTCCCCATTCATTGCAGGTTCCTAGTCTGAATCCTCCTGCTATTTCCATGCCCTTTCCCTGCCTACTTTGGCGTTTAGGTTTCCCATGATAATGATGATTTTCTGTGATTTGCATTGAGTCTTAGCACTGTCGAGCACGGAGTAGAAAGATTCGATGTCCACCTCTTTGCTTTGTGCCATTGGTGTGTAAACTACCATAATAGCCACATTGAACTGCCCCCCTTTCAGCTTCACTACCAGAAAGTTGGTGGTATCCTAGAACACATTTCTGAATTGCACTATCTAGTATTAGTCCTACTGCTTTGTCGTTCTTCTCGCTGCCTTCATAAATTATCCTGTGTTTGTCACTGATGAAATCACCATTGATTGGCACTCTGGTTTCACATACACCAAGAATGTTGATGTTAAGTCTGTTCATCTCTTGTTTAATGCTACAATATTTGGGTGCATCAAAAATGACCCATTTTTGGGAAGAATGATCACAGGCAATGAAAAATTGTTTACTATAATATGGAGTAAAAATGTCCTGGGTAAATTAAAATGAACCACTAGTCTGCATTTGAATTGATGCTGTGTATTTAATGGAATTAGAAGAGCATTGTGTATTAAAAGCTCCTCCCCAAAAATCAAACATTGAATTCTGACGAGTACTCTTCCCAATTGGACCTACTAAAGTCAGCAATTAATAAGTTTCTGAAATTGGTCAATCAGAAGAGTGTCATCTTCAATCAGAGACAATGCCAGACTCAACATCCCTTTGTAAATTCATCAAAAATGGTAAAGTTTGGGTGGATATCCTGTTATACTCCCACCATACTTATCTAACCTTACACTTTCAGATTACCACATATTTTGATCCTTAAAAATTCTCTTAATCTGAAGAACTTCAATTCTTTGGAACCCTGTAAAAATAACTTAAACCATTTGATCACTCAAAAATGTGCCAAATTCTTAAGAAGGGTGGAATCATGAACTTGCCTCAAACATGGCAAAAGTTAGTGGAACAAAATGATACATATGTGATTGAATAAATCTATGTACACATCTAAATATTGTCTTCGAAATTCAATTAAAAAACAATACAGATTTTTCTTTCAACCAAATATTGTTCTCTGTGTAACTGATTAAAATGATTTATTTAAATATTCAGTTTAACAGATTTGCAACTCAATTAGTCAGCAACTGCTGGCTGACAGCTTTTAGTTTTTCTTTGTATATCAAGAGGACTAGCTACTTTTTTCTCTTTTTTTTTTTTTTTTTTTTTTTTTTTAAATAAGGCAATTAAAAATACTTAAGGATTTATGTGAATCTGCTATATCATGGGGTTAATAAAAAAAAATCTTTGTAAAATCTACAATTAATGTAAAACTCTTTCTTTACAGAATATGCAAAGTACTGGTTGTGCACTTGTGGGATTATTTTCTTTTCATACATACACACACACAAACAAATTAGGATCAAGTACATTGGTGCCTCCTACTTCATATTAATCAGTTTTGCCAATCTACCAATTGTCAAGAACTGCAACTGACAACATATGTATATGCTTTCTATTCACACTGAGCTTGATATGAATTTATTTCACCTTTTATGTATGTTCACTGATGATTCTGACATGACACTGGAGGTTCAGTAATCATTTGGTCTCCTATTTATTACTATTTAACCATACATAATATGAACATTTAATTTCAGTAGTATACATCTGTCCAAGTCTCCAGCTCCCCAATCTTTCTTGCAATGCCATGTGTGTATTATGTTTATATTATGTTCATTACAGATGTGATGTGATGTATTTGTATAGTATAGAAGCTACTTTAAATAATTACAAGCACTTCAAATGCAGTGTATAATACATTTCCCAAGAGTTAATTTTAATAAGTCTTTTTCCTTTTATGGTCTCTTTAACTTGAAATTTGCATTTTATCATTGGTTGAATGTACCTATTGTATTTGTTGGTTTTATAAGATAACTGACTTGCATGAGATCTTCTCATTAATATTAATACCACATTACTTAAAACAGCATTTCATGGTCATAACTAATTTGAGCAGTTTTTACAGTTTATACCAAAATGTATTTTGGCATAATCTGAAGTCAATACGTTTATGGCTAGATTTTCTTCCTGATATTAGACTGGCAATTTAACATAATTGTTTGAGAAAGGAATGACAGATACTGCATCTTGTCAAACAACTTTCTAAAACTAGTGTTCATTTATTTTAATAATTTCCTACAGATATTTTATATAAGTATATGTATGAGGAAGAAAGACATGCACACAAAGGTTTTGGTTTCATTTCCTCTTAAGTTGTGATTTATTAATGTTAATAATTTTGGGTGTTTGAATGTTGATGTATGTGCAAAGGTGACAATTTCCATTACTTAAGATATGCCATATTGAGGATACAACTCAGACTGCATTAGTCCTTTGCTTTCTTCAAAAGTAAGAAAAATGATGTGCTGAAAATTTGATGAAAAAAAAAATGATACCGAATAAGTCATTATGATCTGCGAGTGGAAAATAATTAAACATTTCAGAATAAGAATTATTTATTCTTTTCTGTTAAAGGGACCAAAAAAATTAAAAATTAATTTCTACTTTTCTTTTTTTCAGTTACTTTGAAAGTTACATTGTTTCTGATTTTGCTCGTTCTGGAAATCTTGCCATAACTGATATTGAAGTAAAATCTGGTCCATTGCTAAACTTTTCTCATTCCATGGAACCACAACTCCGACAACTTGGCCTCCCTACAACTTTGAAGAAAGGTGAGTTAAAATTAAATTTCTTTAAAGCTTCTAATTTTCTTGAATATTTATTCAACACAATTAAGCTTCTTTTTCTTTTTTTCTTTCCTTCTTCAAATTTAACTCTAGACTCCTAGCCACCCATGTATCTTTGTACTTTTGATCAGCCATTGCCTTGTGTAAACAATTATATCTTGGTAAGACCTCTCACTCTGTATTCTCTTCTGAACAGGTCTGACCTGATTCTCTTAGTTGAGTACTCTGAAACCACTTCCCATGCTGAAAATAACTTGTCTTCATTTACCTACTTAACACACAAGTGAACAGTGAGTGAGGTGGTTGGGGTATCATCTGATTATGACAGGAACTGGCTTATCCAATTGTGAAACAAAGACTAATGATTAGCTGGAAAATTACTTCTCACTTTATTTTTATTACATTTTGACTATAGTATCTTTTTTTTTTAATATATAGACTTGCCTGATATCAGAATTTGTTTGTTACCTGTAAAAAAAATTCAAATATTAGTCATTGGGCCTTTCTTTGTAATGAAATAAAATCTATATGGTTGTCTCATAACACAGGTCATTGCTCTTTATTAACATTGATCATAGTTTACTTCAATCAGTGTTGCTTACCTTATATCAAATTTTCTGAGATGAGTTTTTTAAAAACACTTATCCTAAATCCTAAGATATAATATGGGTTGCTTTACTTAAATATTCAACTTTTAGTGAGGCATTCAATTCCTCTAAACTTATCACTTGATTAAGTAATCAGTTTTATAGATTCTCCTATTTTACTCCTTATCAACTATCTTATTAAGTATTTAATAAACGGAACATGTAACAAACGGCAATTGCTTTCACTAGTTCGACACTATATGCAAATGTTGTTCATCAACCTTCAATTATATAGAAAGAAAGAAAATATATAAACACACACACAGTTTAATTCATTTACTTTATCTGAAATTTTTCTTACAGTTCTTTTAATATTTGATTGTGGTGTATATTTTTAAATTCTCTGTAAACAAAAAATTTCCAAGACATTTAAAAAAGTATTTTAAGCAATATCACTTACATATTATACTCTTCATAAATTGTGATCATATTAATAAATGTATCTAATTATACTAATTGTATGAGGGTAAGTCAAAAATTATCCACACTTTCGCCATTACATATTTTTAGGTTTGTCACACTGCCTTCTGTTCATGCGTGCTTATAGTTGGTACTATTGTGGTCACGTGATCAAAGTTTGTCATTGCTATCTCTCGGGATTGCTGAATCTTCTAGTCACTGGTGGAGGTTGACGGGAATCTTGCTCCTCCTTTGTGCATCGTGCTTGTCCAGCCACTCTTGAACTTCTTGATTCACTCATACACAATTCTACAAAGTAGTGCACTGTTGCTGTATTGTGTTAAAAGCCTCTTTGTTCTTCCTTGGTGCACACTACTAGCAGAGCGGCCATGTTTACATGCTCAAGCTTAAACTTCGATCACTTGACCACAATAGTACAAACTATAAGCACACATGGGCAGAAGGCAATATGACAAACCTGAAGATGTTATGGCAAAAGTGTGGATAATTTTTGATTTACCCTCATAGCTAATAGGGTTTTTCTATGAGTAAAATAGTCATATAGGTTATGATTTGTAGGATTGAAGTCAAATTTTAATGGAGTTTTAAATTTGATTTTATTATTTTGTGTGCGTCTTTCAAGAGAGGAAGTGCTCATCTGCAGATGTATAACTGAAATTACAAGTTATGGTAGTTGTCTGAAATTAAGCTTAGTGACTATATTTGTTTACACAAATACACATATGGCTGTCCTAATAGTGATAAATGTTATTTAGTCAATCATACTAAACATGGAATATATTTTTGAAAAAAAGAAAATCCAAGATTTTATCAAGTATTTTGTTTATGGAATAGTGAAATAATTTGTATTCAAAAGTTCATTTATTTTTGAACTCCAATTATCATTCAGCGGGGGTATTCTTGTTATTTTTATTGTAATGTTTTAGGCATTTTGTTCTTCAGCTATCCCTTCCTGTGTGTTGCAACCAATAATCTTTAAACAAAATCTTATTTCATCTACAAGATATATAATGAACATATATAATACATAAAAATAATAACTACAATCATATTAATGAATAATAAAAATATTACTGTCCTAAATGGTTAGTACTGTTGCTTCTCATAACATCCACAAGCAATAAATACAAATCTGCTGCCTTTACTAAAATCTTTAAAAACGATAAAATTTCTCTACAATAATCTATAAAGGTAAGTTCAAAAAGTGGACAAAGATTTCTCCCAACAATAGTATAAAAACTTTGAGCATTTACCTCTTGATTTTCCAGATCTAAACATGGAAAAATTAGGTAAACTTTAAATGTTTGTAGGATCAATAAGTATGTGGATATTACAAATAGAAAAGCTTAAGGAAATTTGGTGTTGAAAATATTTCATTTAGCAATTCTCTCAATAAAAATTCATATGAATCTAGCTAACAGCTTCTCTTGCTTAAAAGCAAAATTCTCCTTTTCTAATATGATTTAAAATTTTATTCTCAGAATCTTCTCAATATCTCAACACATCTTTATGCTGCATAGCTTTTGTTAATTAGTTCTTAGTTTGAATGTCAATGAGAAACTTGTGTAACTAAAAGGTGTGCTCTGTTGCCACTAACACTTTCTCTCACCTCTCTCTCAATCCCTTACTAATGCATCATATTGGTAGGTCTTCTCTTACCTGTCTGCCTGCCAGACAACTAATTGATTGGATTGACTTTAGCAACAGCTTTTCTCACTTTTCATGGAAATAGGCTGAGAGGTGAGTATTCAGTTCACTCTCACCTGTCTACCCATCTCCAATAATGAGGTTAACACCTTGATGGACTTTGTTTCTTCTCACAACTACTTAACCTCATCATTATTCCAATTGTGCATACAACAATCCAAATTTGGTCAATAATAGTATTTCACTTTGTGTGTGCGCGTGTTTTTCAAATGAGAAAAAAATAACATAGATTAACTTTTGGGTTTAAATTGTGAGGGGGTAAAAATACATTTTTTGACCCATCCCACTTACCAAAATCTAACCAAACATTTTTTTTTTTTTTATGAGTGGCTTGGTTAGGTCAAGAATTTTCAGTATCTCAGCATGTGTGCAAGAGAGAGATATCTATTCAAAATGTATCCACCTATTTAATATTAATTAAAAATAACCAACCTAGATCAGTGACACCTTAATCTACTTCAAAGTAGGTTTTCTGAGCATTCTAAAGAAGCCATAGGTTGCAGGAAAATAGATCTGGACTGTAGATGCTGACAGCAAAGTGATAAAGTGATGCAATGTTTAAGAAAAGGCCTTGCACAAAACATTGGCAATGGGAAAGAGGCATTATAATGAGTGCACTGGTCACACCACACAAGCTCACTCAGTGGCATCTAATTGCTGTATGAATAACCTCACAAAAGAGTATCTGTTCACCTCTTACACAGGCTCCTTCTGATTGGTTATCAAGTTGCATCAAGATTGTGTAAACATTGAGATATTCAAAATGGCTAAATGTCTGTCAGTAAATTGATAGTCTTATGATTAAAAAAATCTAACCTTTTTTTAATCATAAGACTATCAATTTTTTCACATCACAATTCAGCTAAGAACTTTCAAGCTATCTTCTTGTGTGTCTGTGTACACACAAATTTTTACTTTTTCTTTTATTACAGGATTTACTATAGGTTCAAGTGTGTTGTGAGATAAAAAAAAAAAAAGATTGAAATTCATTGCTGTAAATCAGTGTTCTCAACTGGTGTTCCCCCAGAACCCTAGGGTTCTGTGATGAATAGGCTAATGCATTTTTAAGTAATTTGTCTAATTTTATATTCATATATGGCATATTGTTGGAAAATCCTTGGTTGTTATTATAATAAAATACAAAAGAGATACATTTTAATAATGGTATATAATTTTTTATCCAGGAGTTCCCTGAGACATGAAAACTATTTCAAGGGTTCCACATGGGTAAAAAGATTGAGAAACACTACTGTAGATTCTTTCAGTGTTATCACACCAACTTAAACTCAACTTTGTATGGTATACACACACCATTTTTGTTTATGCAAGTTTTTTTTTTGTTTGTTACAATGATGTTCACCCTGTACAGGTCCCAAGGGCCACAGTTTGTGAGGAAGATAACAGTTGGCAGTAAACTTGAACAGGTTAAGATTGTAGTGATTGGGGGAAGGATCTTCTATACAACAGTGGCTTGTGGGAAGAAGGTGCTCGAGTGAAACTTACACCTTGCCAAAGGAAATGAGGGCTGGTTCACTACCATATGCATTGCATGGTGGGTCTTAGTTCCACCAGTTCTAACTTTCATGGCTAAGGAATGTAGTTCACCTTAAAACTTCCATGGAAATAGTGATAGGTTTGCAATGTTTCATCTGTGAGAAAGGGCTTGTAGGTTGGAAAATAATTCTTCACTCACAAGGATGTGGATATGCTTTTGGACTTTCAAGACTGAAAAGTGGAGACTGGGCAGTTCCTGCCCATATATGGCAGCAAGACTTCATTTTCAAACTGATCTAGCTCTTGAATTGTTCCAGCATCTTTAGTGATGGAGTGTATGTACGAGTTTCACTTGAGGTCTGAGTTGGGTTTGTCTCAATAGGTGCTCAAGTCACAAAGCCACCCTGAGATAGAATCTGTTCACTGTGATAGGTGAAAATTCAGGGTCTACTCAGTGATAGTGTAATGTTACTAGTTTGTTCTTTGAGGCATTGAATATGACTAGCCAGTTTTTTTCTCCCACTGAGCTGTTAAAGCTAGGTCAGAGGAGAGATCAGCTACCAAGCTCTGGCCATCTACAATTTTGATGTATCATCAGTATAGATATTCACAAATGTACAGAGTATACTCTTAGGCAGATCATTTATGTAAAGTAGAAAGAGGGTTGGACTGAGAAACGATCCTTGAAGGACGTCTGCTTATATTGCTTGGGCCTTGTAGAACTAGCAACAACTACCTTCAAGAACCTACCCATTAGGAAGGATTACATTGATGAGGCAACGGGCTGGTTTCAGTAGTGTGAAAAAATTATGAATTTTCTCAAATGATTTCCTCTACAATTAAATCTCTCAAATGTGCATGCCAGTAGATATAATTCACACTACTTTAAAAAAAATCTTTTACTCAAACATGTGTATCCACTAAAATAATGTTTCAATTAAGAAGAAATAATGTTGGATTAAAATTTAAAATCCTTTAATTCCTTAGAAATTACTTTGAACTGCATGTGCAAGAAAGGTTAAAATAAAAATAAGGCAAAAAAAAATATTTTTTGCAAATACGTCTGGATAAATTTTTAGCTAAGACACCATGGTAGCAACTTGGTACAATGTTTAATAATTTTTTTTTTTTGGGTGGGGGATAGATAACTTAATTCTGATAATTGTTGATTTTCATTTAGCTTTGTGGATAGGTTTATGTTATGGCACAATTTGCAAGACCTGTAATACTGATCTGATTGTAATTACAAGATTCATGATTTTATGAGCAACATCTGGTCAATACTATCTGGTTGGAAGAAACATCCTTACAGTTTGTAAACCAATGAATTTATTTAGAAACAGCAAGAACTTCTTCCAACCAAATAATGACTGTTTAATGAACAGTATTATAATAAAATGTGTGTGCACATGCACACATAAAATGTTAAAAAAGTTCTATATTTATAGGAGAAAAGTGCTCACTACCAGACACAACATATAAGTGTAGATACAGGTATCAACATTAAATGGTAACTTTCATGCTTAAATGTAGTCATTGGGCCATGTGGGTGGAACTAGCTCAACTACTTATGTATGTTATTTACTGGGGGATTATGGGTACAAAGTGTGATTATTATTCCAATGTCTATTGAATATGACGATAAAAGGAAAAATGGTTATTTCCTGCTTATTGTATTTTCAGGATGGCTATTATAGCCCATACCTTAATTACCAAAATAATTAATAACAAACTGTCTTACACAATATATAAATAGTTGCGGTCTGATGAATGCATTTAAGCATGAAACACAGTTACCATTCTATGTCAACACTACTTATATATGGATGTGAATAAAGACAAAAGGAAAACTTAGCTGATGTGTGATGTCCTCTGAGGGATTTTATGAAAGCATATGCAAGGATTTTATTTTGTAACGATAATTTATATACAAGAGCAAAAATATTAGTTTTAGGAATGCCCATAAATGTTGATCAGGTTAGCTGAAACAACAGGCCAGATATAGGGGAACAGTGATACAATCCAATGTCTAATAAAACACAATTGAGTAAGTGATGTTTTTGAATTATTTTTTATGCAAATTAGTATTTAAATTTAGTCTGGGATTAATTTGTATGTTGTATATATTTTGAATAACATGAAGTTAAGGATTTAACTGTTTTCTTTCTTTTTTTCTTTTTTAGTCCTATATCTTGAGAAAGTAGTAATTCTTTCAGGAATGAAGATATTGAAGAAGAAAAAATCTGGGGCCCAGGTTTATATTTATATATTTTTTCCAGTGTGGGCATGAATAGTGCATGTTTAGCCATTATTGTAACAGGGATAAATCAAGAAATATTCAAAACTAAACTATAATAATTTATGATCTAACAATAGCTTAATGCTTTCAAACTACATCATTTGCTGAAATGATTTTATTAACTCATTATTGGACATTCTATGAACCTTTATTTTACAGATTTTTTTTTCTATTGACATTATAATGTTAAGGACCAATTACATTTTCTTCTTGAAAGGTGTGGTTAAATTAGTAACCTCATATATTTTCTTCCTTTTTTAGGCGTTGTGACGTTAATTACTGACTATACAATCTGTAAACATGGAGAGAAACTCACTCCAGAGCAGGCCAGAATTTTAGTAAGTTGAAGAACTTCTTTACTTGTTTTCTCCTTCCTCCTCTTCTCTAAATCCTCTATCTAACTAAATTTTTTTCCCTCTCTTTTTGATTAGAAATTGTTTGGGCACATGATGGCAGAATTTCAGATGAACATTGAAGGAATGTGGTCTAATGATGGTTCATGGGAAGTTTTTAAAAATTCAGACAGCACAGTGCCTAACAAAGTGACATTTCAAGGTAGGAATACTAACGATGTATGCCAATGCATTTTTGTGTCCGTTTGATTTCATGTTCACTTACACAAAAGAAACTTGCTAAAATCAATTGAAAGGCTTAATTTAAAATAAACATCCGTAAAATGTTGCTAAAAGAATATTCAGAATTTATGGATTCATTTATTACTTAGGGCACAATATGAATTTTCTCAGTTTTAAAAAATAGTGTATATAAGCTTTCTTTATGGAATGTAGTCATACATATTCTATGTGTGCTTTATTATTACTATAGCTTGATTAAAAAAAATGCTTAGATTTAATATAAAAAGGATATTACTTTAAAAATTTACAATGATGACCTCTTAGGCAATGATTTTGTAAATTGTTACCCTTTAATGGCTTTTTTTACATCTTCAATCTGACACCACTAGTAAATGTCAACCTACTTCATATGTATTTCAAATAAATATTTGACTTTCCCAAAAGCATGGCCTTTTTTATCATTTTATTTTGAGCATTTTCTTTTATCAACATCTATCAATTTATTTATTGGCTTCTAAATCATAAGGTTGTTCAATAAGATTTTGTACTGTTTTATTAAAACAATGCTGCTACTACTACATTTCTGATGCATTTTATCAGTTTCTTTTTACAACTGAAGATTACCTCTTATACTAATTTTTTTTTTTTTTTTTTTTTTTTTTGTTGGAATTCTTTTTCTTTTGTTTGTTTTGCGCAAGATGGAACATCTCACTGGCATTAATGGGAAAGAGGAATCTATTTGTCTCATGAAAGATAACCATTTGACATGTCAAACATGATGGGAGAGCAGTATGTAATTGTAGACAATGCCATCAGACCTTCATGGAAATGCTTAGACTTGTAGCGTCATGCTCTGACATTTGGTAAGCCAGTTTTCACACTGACTCAATTGATCATGGCAAGGTGACATTTGACATCTTTTAGTCTATGGTGTCACCTTGATAAAATGCATTACTACCTGCTGTGGATAATCCCGGGTCTTTAATGATTATAACCAGAACATCTGACTAGAATTGTCTGCAATAATAAACAAACATTGGCTCAAATCACACAATGCAGCAGAAGACCCACCAGACAACACTTCACCTGAACTTGTCATTGCTAATTGAAGGACTGGCGGGAAGGGTCAGTTATCTTGGGCTGATGATAGTTTGGGTGTGTTCTATAATGGCAAGGGAGGTTTTCATGGGTTAGGTTTACACATCCTATTGACCATTTCATCTAGGCATGGACTCCAGCAGAATAATGCTCTGTCATTGGGTCTACGTTGCACAGAATTAGTTTGAGAAGTATTCAAGAGACTTCCTATGAATGACATGTGACAACCACATTTTCCAGATATTAAAGCCCAATCTAGCATTTATGGGACATATTGGCAATCTAGCATTTATGGGACATAATGGCAATCTAGCATTTATGGGACATAATGGCAATCTAGACAGCGAGAGATGGTATGGCTCAACATTTCTCAGATCTTCTGACTGATGCCACATTGAGTTGTTCCTAAATGATAATAGGCACCTACTCCATGCCTTTTGGCACTTTAGTTCAGTGATTTTCTATAAAGTAACTAATCCATTTTTTTCTTTTCTAGCAAGTGATGCAGACATTACAATGATGAAGCAAGATGATGAAATATTGGATGTGAAAAATAAAAATAAAGAAAATACAGTCTGATGTGCAATAAACATTGTAAATAAATATCTGCTATATCAGTATTTTTAAAGATATGGTTTTGTTTTTCATTTTACTATCATATCAGCAAATGGATTTTTTTTAATCTTCAATTTCTTTAAAAGTGAAGATAAATTTGCTATTATAAATTATAAAGATAATAATTTATAAAGATAAATTGAGAAATTTCCTCACATATTGATTGCTTAGTTGCTAATGATTTGAGAATATGAGAAGAAAATTTATAGATATGTGCTAAATTTGGCTCTACCACTATCATTTGAGAAAATATTTACCAAAAAAAATCCCAATATATTCCATGTCTGTTAATTGAACAGTCCAAATAAATTGTCATAAGCAAAGAAACTGATATTCCAAAATAAATTTCAATTCATGAAGCAGTTTATTTATGAAGAGTGAATTTATCATTAATGGCTTGCAAAATTGGCTCACAAACTTCCTCTGCAGTGTTAATGCATTTTCTTCACCATACTACAATGATGAAAATAAGATCAAATTTATGAAGCACCCATTGCATTATACAAGGTTCGTATAGATCCTGGAAACCTTATCAAATCCTGGAAAATTGATGGAGCCTTTTTCAGGTCTTGAAAAGTCCTGGAAAAACGGTAACAGCACAAAAGTTCATTGAAAAGTCCTGGAATGTTCTAAATTGGGCTTCCCACATATCCCTTTTCTCAATTTATGAAAATCAAAATGCTAAATCCCAGGAATCAAGCTAAAAATTGTCCTTTAAGAAAAATTATTTTAGTTTATCAGTAATATTTGGCAGTTATTACGAATGGTGGTTTGTTTCCTTGATTAGAATGAAGTCATGACACCTAATAGTTACTTCTGTATTTTCTTGTCTAGGTGAATGAGAAAAATATGAAGGCATATCCTCTAGCTGCTATCCTCACTTAAGAGGAAAAGCAAAGATAAAAGGTGTCAGAGACAATTAAACATCTCTGTCAAAGATAAATTAATTCACTCTCATTGAATTTGTAGGAAAATAAATTATTTTAATTAAATACATTTTAGCAACTCAAAAATTTATCAGTGTTTTTTAAAATGTGAACACTTGAAGAAATTTTATTCATATATCAATTTCAAAAGTAAAAAGTCCTTTTGATCTCTAGTCAGTGATGGGTGAGTTCTTGCTGAAAAAAAATACTTTGTGTGTCTCATGTCAATGTGTATCTATAAACTACATTTGTCGAAATTGTTGCTAAAAGTAACAAGTTTGAGAATCAAATTTGACACAAAAAAAAAATACCTTTGGGGAGGATCTTAGGATAGAAAATGCATTTTGAAAAAATAAGAATGTTATTTTAAAGTTTGCAGGCAAATAATGACCTGTATTTCTAGCTTTTTTTGTTGTGTGAAAAAAAATTAAATATATTAAAAATTTATTTTTTTTGGCTTTATTTTATATTAAAAAAATTCAATCTAGCAACCCTGCAAAACTTTATTTTGGTTTTCTCATCATATTTAAAAAGATTTAATTAAAAACATGGAAAAATATCAGATAATAAATCATTTTTCCTGTGAAAACTTGACTTATGAATTTTAAATGATTCAAATTTTTAAAATTTTTCAAAGGACAAATATGAAACTAATAAATTTTTCATTTCCAAACTGAATGAATTTGTAAGAATTTTGTCAACTGTTAAAATTTTGCATAAAGATGCTGCAAAGAGCCAATTCATTTTTGGCAGAAACTGAATGCAAAATTTAAAAAATGTCCATGGCAAAAGAATTTTTAGATGCAGAATTAAAAAAAGAAATCATTTCATTGAAGAAATTCTGCAAAAAAAAAAAAAAAAAGTCCTTGAAGACAATTTATGGCTGAACCCTGATCCTTCCTGAAAAAATGGACAAAAAACAAGTCTGATTAAAATGATGTCATCAGTCAGTACAAAGTAACAAGTTCAAAAGGAGGCTGCAAAAGTTTGCTTTGGAAAAGAAATTTCAAGCAAGCATGAAGACCATCTGGGCACTTTGTTCTATTCTTCTTTGTCTAGCAACAAAGAATATCAAAAAAACTGAAAGTTGTTTTCAGATTGATTCTCTCATGGACAGGCCTCAGTGGAGAGAGGTTTCTCAGTCAATAAGGAAATTTCCACTGACAATATGAAACAGCAGACTCTGGTTCACACATTATCACAGACTATTTGGCCACAGTTGGATCTGGGAATGTTTCCATGACTAAGGGCTCTTGCAGTGCTTCCAATGCCAGAACAGTATACAACCAATTGAAGAAGAAAAATGAAACAGCTGGACAAAATGGAAATCCATGCTTATGGAAATTGAAGAACTGAAAAAAAAACACAAGCTTGAAAATTGCATACAAGATTTGCTCAAGTCAGCTGCTATGTGGAAAAAATCTGAGCAGACTCAGAACTTCACACTTATCACAAAGTCAATGTTCAGAAAGATCTGCAAAAGGACAAATCCATAGAGATATCAAAATTAGAAAGGAGCTGAATGCTAAACTAGATGAACTGAAAAAAATATTATCATTCTGTTTTGTTTTTTGCACCAAAAGCCATGAGTAGTAGGGATAGCTAAAATGTGTAGTCTTTTTTGTGAAAATTTCTTTTTAGTTTTGTTCATTAAAACCATTATACTTAACTTCACAAAAAATGTGCAGCAATTAAAAATTTTGGGACATTCACAAACCATGAGTAGTCTAGATAGCTGAAATGTGTAGTAGTAAGAATTAAAGTGTGTAATTCAAAATTTTCAAAAGTGCAGTAGAACTCCAAACTGTGTAGAATGCTACACAGAATGTGTAATATCACCAGGTCTGCATTCAGTTGTGTTTTAGCCTTCAACACTTTGAATTCTTCACTGCTTTCAACTGATCTATGTGACATAAATTATTGGAAACAGCTGTAGATTTTCTTTGAACATCTCTATTAAACTATTAAAAAATAAATCACAAAGTTTGCATTTTTGAAATTGATGACCATTCATTTTGTTTGTGTGTGCATTAGTTTGTAAAAAATTTTTTTTTTACAGATCTGTGGGTACCCTGAAAATTAAAATTGTGATTCACAAATTGACTATCACTTAAATTTTATGTCAAAGAAAATTAATCTATATTGGATATATAATAAAATTCTAGTTATTGTCAAAATCTAACAATTGAATTATAAAATTGAATATTCCAAATTTGTTTAATCAACAAAAAATATTCTAAATGGGAAGCTCCTTTTCAATTTGGTATATGGGTAAGAAAAATTGTCATTGAATCAAAGAAAAAACTAGCCAAATATAGTTTTGACTGATAATATTAAACAAAATTTGGTTGGGTTCAAAAAAGATGCAAAACAAATACAGATGTTGTTTCCAAAGAAAAATTGCTGTGACCAAATGGTTCCCAACTACAAAATATTTGAAAAGGTTCCTAATTCAAGGTTTTTACTATATATATATATATATATATATACACTGCAAAATTTTTAAAGTACACATGCTACAAAACACCAAAAATATTCCCCAGCTTGAAAATATAAAATTAGGTTTTTTTTTTAACAGGATTTTAGCTTTTATGGCCAAAATGTTTATTAAATCAATCTCTTCATGTTTAAATGTCAGAAATTGAGCACACTAAAGAGAAAAGTGGGAAATGAAAAATTAGAGATATTTTTCTGCTATGGGACTTTTTGATGAATGCATAAGTGGAAAATACTGACCTTGGTTTTATTTTTCTCAGGTATATTTTTCACTCTCTAAAGAGAATTTGGGGTTTTATTTTGAATTTATATTATTCACTGCCAAAGAGAATTTGGATTTGTCTTAATAATCCAAAGGAACCCCTGAAGTAGTTCTGTATTTTACTAATTTTAGGGTATTTTGTTGTTGAAATTAGATTGATTTGAGTTTGCCTAAATAGGAAATTGCAATTTAAATATTGTATTAATTTAGGATCCCAGCAATCAACAATAACCTTAAAAAGAAATTTGTTTGTTTTTCTGTCTCTATAGTACATCAAAAATCTAATCTTTTTGAATCTATCTATATATATATATATATTTTGAGTGCTTTATCTGTTGATAAACTGGATGTGGGTTGCAATTGTATAACCACACCACCCAGTCTAAAACGTTTTGCCTGCATCATCCATTGGTATACTGCTTATAGAACACTGCATGTCTTATCATATATCCTTTGCAAGTGTTTGATTGTTAATATGTAAATTAATTCCATCAATAAAAACTAAATTGTTTGTTTTTTTGGGAAATACTAAATTGTTTCAATTTCCAAATATTCAATAGATTTCCTAAAGCTGTAATAACTTTTCAAAATAGTATGGCATTGTTGGCATAAATTTAATAATCGCATCAAATAACAAAAAACTTGATCAAGTTTTGTTTTCAAAAAACATTTCCATGAAAATGGATTTTGAATTAATTACCAGCTTTTATTAGAACCTAAGTTATGGTTATGAAAAGATTGTTTCCTTTAACGCTTCAATTTCCTAATCAAACAATATTTGCATCAAAAGGTTGTTCAACCTCAAACCAAGACTTATACAGATGAAGAAATTATTGGCTAAATGTTAAATTAGCCAATTTTCTTTAATAGTTTGTGTATTACTTCATCCACTTAATTGAAATAATCTAAACCAAAAATTCATTCAAGACAACTTGTGTGTGCCCTGTTATTTATATGGCAAATTTACAAGTAACGTAGTTGATAAAAACAGGAAAATGAAAAAACTGTCTTTTGAACAATTTTTTCTGAAATAAATTTTTTGAATATAGCATTCTAAAACCATTTGTACATCATTTTTATTTAGCATGTAATGATAAATTTTTTGAATTTAATAATTTGAAAAATCATAAAATTAAAAATACAAAAAATGACTATTTATTTTATTTACAAAAACAAGATTTTTTTGCAATTTTTTGTCTATAAACCAATGTTGCAGGCAATTTTCATTTCTACATAAAGTTTGGATTAACTCAATTAGCCCTGTTTTGCAAAGTTGGCAT